CCCCCCCTCTTTTTGGGACAAATGCTCCAGTCTATTCGTGGGGAGCAAGCACGTGCTGGGAACCGGGCCCAGCGTCCCATATAGAGTTACACAAGTCATTTGAGATACCGGGGCCATTACCCGGCTTCGGCTGAGAATCAATCTGAGAACTACTGAGAACTATTGAAGAAATTCAAGAGAATTAAAAAGAGGTTGAAAAACTATGAATGACTACTGACCTCTTTTCGAATGCTCAGAGCCCTAGACTCCCAGACAAAACTCTGTAAGACTATCCAACACTGTCTTATTCCTTTTCGGGCTCTCCCAGGCCTCACACTCCCACTCGGCTAGGTTACAGAGCCTGCAGGGTTGTAATAGGGTACAACAATGGTGGAGATGGTGGCTTCATCGTGGTAAGACTTGTCGGAGTAGGGTTCAGGGGGGTTGTTGGGAGGATATCTGCAACCAGTGCATGAAGGAGACAAATAATGAGATCTACAGCTATGGTGCTGATTGGTAGCTTGACTGCTATTTGTCTTAGTCCTGAGTCCCGGTGGTTTGCAAAAAGACGAGGCCAGAACGACGCTGGTCGGTGTTGGGGCTTGGTCGTGCTGCCCTGTAACTCGAGCGATACGAGGGCATGAGACCTGGTAGAGAGATCTGGGGAGTTGTCGAGGGTGGAAGGCACTCTAGTGTCTTTTGGTGAGCTGGTGCCTAGTCGGCGCTGGCCGGAGCCGGGGCGGGTTGCTTTGCCCTGTGGCCTAGCAGGTGGGGGTTATTCTGGGGTGGGTCATGCCACTATGTAACCTAGCAGTTGGGGGCATGAGGCCTGGTAGAAATTGGGCATCGGGATATAGGGGTGGGGCAGGTAAGGGTTGGGCTGCTGAAAGGCCCTAAGGCAGGTGTTTTTTTTCTGAATGCTTCTTTCATCAGAGCTGTGGGGGACACAAAATTTCAGTGTTCTTGTAAAAAAAAAAAAGTTGAAGCCGCGTAATAGCCCCGGTATCTTAAGGATATCTTCAAAAAAGGTTTGTTTACAGGTGGTTCTGAGAATGCTTTAGGATTTTGGGGACTTCTAGCAACTCGCTTTAGGCTGTTTGATACTGGTACATTTATGGATCTGCGGTTGTTCGATGCCAGAACGACGTTGACCGGTGCTGGGGTGTTGCCCTGTAACCTGCTGACTGCAGGAGCATGAGGCCTGGTAGAGAGATCTGGGGATGCTTTGGGCTGGGCATTCCAAGGGACAACCAAGGGTTGTTGTTGGGACACAGCCACCACAACCCCCTGCCTCCAGCACCAAACCTTGGAAGAACTTTTCAATTAAGAAAAATTAGGAAAATCAGGCACAAAAAATCCCAAAAAATCACATGAACATTCCAGCGCCCACTATTCCCACAGGGAGAGGGGAAAAGAGGGAAAAAAACAACCCTCTCTCCCCATGGAAACTCTAGCGCCTATTGAGGTCTCAGATACATATAAAGGGGTCACAAGAGCCAAAGGGATTACTCCTCTCTCCCAAAAAACAACCCGGGTCCCTGTTTGTTTACGGCCTCCGCGGGAAGGCGCCCCTTCACCTCCCCGCCCCAGTTCAAAACAACCCCTATAATACCCCTCCTGCTCCCTCAATCGCATACAATACCCCCTAAAGTATGCCCCCGCAGAGCAGAAGATCCCCCTTCCTTCCCGCCCCACCCCCTCCAAGCGGAACAACCCTCTCAACTCCGACCCTGCTGACATCCGCACCCCTTGTCCTCTCTCCCCAACCGCCATAGCTGATCCGACCCAAAAACAGCGTGGCCCAAAAAAGGACTAACCCTTAATACCGCCCCTACCCTCTCAAAGATCACACCACCCACCTTGTGTAACCCTCGCAGGGAGGGACTCCAACCCTAAACGAGATATCCATTCCAACACCTCTGACCCCGATCTCACAACATCACAGGTTGAGACTCCCTTGCTAAAAACAACAAACTAAGACAAACTACTTGAGTAAGAACTATTTGAAAAATCCCACGTCGCGTTTAAAGTTTTTTACAAGTCATGCAGTCCAGCTAATGCAAAGATCGAGCATTTTGCCAGTAGCTGCACCTCCGTTTTCATCGTCCCCCACCCCCAACTGAATAACAGCAGTGTCTAAAACCAACACTCTATCACACCCCACACACAACCCACTCACACTCGTGTTGGCCAAGGACCCTGCTATTACCGATCAGACGTATCAAGCGTACTATCACTGATGGTTGGCACTAAGTGCGCCGCATGAGGTTGTGGGCCTCGAACCCACAACCTCCTGAATGCCACTTGCGTGCCTAACCAAATGAGCTAGTCCGCTGGATGTTGTGCCCGTGATAGCTCGGACAGAGACTACACTAGTGCTATGTTTCGCTTTTTTCTGAATAAGTTGTGGCGCAGACATGATTGAAACGATGAGTTTTTTCTGTTTTGTTTTTTGCTGTGTTTGTTTGTTTGTTCGTACACTGCTATGTTGCTTAGGATATAATCGTTTTTCGTACCAGGAGGTATGTGCGATAGGGACTTGGGCTTCGAACCAGTGACATATTGGACCAGTTTGGGTTGTAAGCCGACGAAGGCGGAAGGCCGCAAAATAATCGTAAGCATCGAAGTGACGGTACCGAAAATGACGCTACTTGGATAAAAGTCTGGCTATCGTCGGGCCCCACCTCCTCGTTTCCCCGCCTTTGGGGGGGAGCTCGATACGTAAGACATCATGCATGACGGTCTCTTGGGTGTTGCGGCTCATAAGGTGGATTGCGTAATTTCGGAGTCCTATGGCACTTGTGGTAGTTGTTACCAAGTGTGCAATTTGCATGAGCAAATTTGTGTACCTGTGTGATGCTGTTCAGCTTGCTTTTCTGCGAGAAAGATCCATAACCTGCTGGGAGATTGTACCTAGAGGGGGTGGCGGATGACATTGAGAGAAGACAACTGGGAGAGAAGACGATTGTGAGCGAAGGATTCAACGTTAGCGGATCGGTGGAACTGTGAAGATGGCAAACGAAGGTGTGATGGGAGGATCCGGCAGAAGCAGTGAATAGGGAAGTGGTCCACAATGCAACTACAATCCATTAGCAGGAAAATCCTGCTAGAAGTGTGGCGAAGCTGACCATTTTGTCAGTATGTGTGCTGAATACCGGCAAGCAAAAGTGCGCAGCGTCCCTTTTGTTCCACCACCCCCACTGAATCAGTCTAGAAGCAGAAGGACCATGACGATCGGAACTGAGAGACAAAGTCACTTGGCTGATACCGCGACCCCTCGTGTGGAAAATAACAAGGCTAACGATATGATGCACGAGTACTTTCTGCAAATGGCCTTGGAACGGAGGGAGAGAATTGAGCGGGAAGCAAGGGAGCTAGAACAAAGAAGGGAAAAGGAGGCAAGACTGGAAAGAGAACGGCGGCGACAAAAGAGACTCGAAGAAAAGAGACAATATGAAGAAGAACGGGATGAACGGCTACTGCGAAAGATTCGAGAGGAAGTATCAGGCGGATATGACAGTGAAGCGAGTCGGAAATTCGGAGGAAGACCGAAGTACACGGTCAAGAGGAATGAGTACAGTGAAACTAGAGAGGATGAAAAAGAATGGTTGCTGAGAACGATCGCTAGTCTGGGGAGGTACAGGGAAATCGAAGAAGAGGACAAGGAACTGGTCGAGCTTCGAAGGAGAGTTGCCGGATTGAGACTGGGCTTGGAAAAAAGGAAACGACCAGTGGTGGAAGGACTGGTGGGGAACAACCCCCCTATGATGACTCCAACTAAGGAACATCGGACGAGACTATCCAAGGAAGTGAAGACGAGAATTGAAGAGATTCAGAATGCAGAAGCGGGCAAGGAGGCTGAGTCGTCGGTGACGAAGAATATCCTTGCATCACTCGAGCCGACTGGGAATATTGGGTTATCGCTCAAGCACGTGACGACTGACACCGGACCTGGTGCAAGGGAGAAATACGAGCGTGACATTCGATATCTGTATGAAGCACTTACAGTGGACGAGCTGAAGGATCAATGCAAGATAGAAAAGATTAGCTATGGTAATCGAGATTTGGCGATTAAGTGTCTGGTGATACGACAGATCATCAAGGCATATGATCCAGTTGACGTTCCCTTACCTGATAAGATGAGAGACTTTGAGCATGTTGCGAAGAGAAACACGATTTTGAACGGTGGCGACAAGGATACCAAGGCTTCATCTTCGGAGGAAGACGTGTGAAGAGTGAGTATCGAAGGTCTATGGCGCGAAGCCACAGAAGTAGCCACACATAGGCGCGACAATGGAGGTAAGAGCAAGTTACTGGACCACCGGTTACGGATTATGACGATCGCTCAGATATTGCATGGTGAACTCGAATGGGGGAAGAAGTTTCTTTCTTACTGGGTCGATGAGAATGGAAAAGGTAGTTTGAAACTGCGTAAACCAAAGAAGTGTGTATACGCTCTAATATCGTCGCGGTATAGGCAAGTGTGCGTGGGGATCACGAAGAGGGATCTTTGGGCTCGGTGACGTGAGCATGTCGGTTGTCACGGCTGTGTGACTGAAAACTGTAAACGCAAGTGGAATTTGTATAACTGGTCGGCAAAGATCGGGTGTCAGAAGTATGTGGCAATCCCGATCTACTTTAGCCAGTCACGTGATTAACTTGAGTCTGCAGAGTCAACTTTGATCCATATTTGGTCACCTTCATTGAACACGAAAGCTAAGAAGAGGAGAACGCGTAGACGGGAGAGAAGGGGAAAGAGAGAGGGGAAAAAACGAAAGGTTGTACGAAAGAAATGAGAGAGTTGCGCGGAGCATACCGATAGGATCCTGAAAATAAGGAGAGAGAAAGATAGTGAGGGAACTATACGGATTATTTCTTTTTTGAAGAGCCTATCAAAGGAAGATCGGAAGAAAGAGATAGTGATTAAGAGCGAGGGTGAAGGAATATGGTCTGGCGGATGGAAACTGGTGAAACGTTTGTTTGGGGAAACCAAAGTGAAGGTGGGAAAGCGGGCGCGCCCCCTGCGAAGTGTAAGAAGATATTAGAGTAGAGGGGAACGATCGTACTGAGCGGAGTTTGGAGGCTTCACCAACTAGTCTGAAGCTGAAAGAATAAATCATCCAATGTTTAACTTAAAGAACAAGGGAAAGAAATCCTTATTGTGCAAGAAAAGACAAGAAGACCTAGTGCAGTACTACAGTGCGGCGAAGTTTTTTTTCAACGAAGAAAAATAGGACAAAAGCAAGGTGCATGATATGCAATCAAAAAGAGGTTTGAAATCAACGTTAGACGAAGGCTGATCGTTAAGATTGGATTTGACGAGCGTATTAAGAGGGGAGAAATAACAAGATTGGCGAGACAGAAGATTAGGGATTTTTCACTCGACGGGTCAACTACGGATATGTTACGTAGATGCACCCGAGTTGTTTGGACCAGAAATCCAAACGTTGGGGAAATGATTCATAATCATCGCCGCTTTGCAACTGATGGTGTCACAAGGTGCAGTTGCGCCGGTGTTGCCCTCCGGAAGGTGGATGGGCACGTACATTTCTGACTCAGCCAGTGGAGTGGATGCTTGACTCTAGCAAAGAACACGAAGAATGTACTCGCAAAAACGAGAGGAAACATTAGCGTTAGGTTGAGGATGGACATAGAAGATGGCTTTGCGAAGTGTAGTTTTGTTGGGAGATCAGATCGGCAGTGTGAAGGTGCAAGAAGATGAGTTGGTTGCATGCGTGGACGAATCGTGGTTGGTTGACGAAGCGGGAAGACAACAAATTATGGATATCAAACGGGAGTTGAATGGTTTCGTCCGCTACCCTCTTGACCGAAACCCAGGGGAGACACTTGTTCTCTGCTCGAGTGTATATGAGAAAGCAATGTGGACAATTTTCATCACGAATGAAGGATATGAGAGGTGTTGAAAATATGAAGAAGCGGTGTTAGAAGAGGCGCACACAACTTACGCAGATGGAGGTTTTCAGGCTTTGAGCAAATGGAGAGAGGAAGGAAAGTTGGGGAGGGCTTACGCCCTGCCCAAGCATAAGGACACATGAAAGTATCGACCCATTTGTCCTACTTTCTGTTAACCAAGCACATGTACATGTAAAATGGTAAGAAAAACCTTGAATGAGATGCTATTCGGATTTCCCGAGAGTCAACATTTCAACCTTAGATCTGTGTCGGATATGAAGGGCAAATTGGGGAAAATCAACCATAAGATGCAGAAGGTGTGCAAAGATGTTCATGTGTTGGTTGCCTCGTACGATATTAAGCATATGTTTAGCAAACTTACGCATAACACGATCATACGAGCAGTAGATTGGTGCATTTGGTGGTATTCTCAGCGTGGATTGAATGACGTGCATGTAAAGAAGAGGGGGAATGAAGTTAAGATGAGTAAGTGTGAACAGTTGGATGGGTATCGCTTTGTGAGTTTCGATTGTTTGATGAAGTGCGTTTTTTTTTTTTGAAGAACTGCTACATAGTCGCAAACCGTGCGGTGCTCTGAACACAAACCAGTGAACATTAATTTCGTCAAAACGGACATTTTATATTTTTGAACAAAATTGAAATTGTCATTTTTATTGTGATTTTGGTGACTTTTGATGTTTTGTTAAGTCAATTTTTGGGAGGTACCCTACCTTTGTTTGTATTTTGTGGTCCTGTTTACCGCAAATTTTACATCGACTTCTTATAAAATTTGAGGGGGATTACAATTTCATTGCCATTATATGAAGCTATAGGGGTCTTCATGATCAGTTTTCTTTCTTTTCAAGCATATCGATTAATATTTATTATCTTTCACGGTATAAAATCAAGAATTTTTTTGGTTTTCCCCGGCCAATACATGAAGATTAGAGAAACATATTGAGTACCATACCAATAAACACCTATGATTGGCAGTATATATGTGGGTTGTTTCATGATTGCATTGGTTGGTTTGCTATTCTTATGTTTATTTACATGTATTTAATACTTATTGAAGTGTTGTGTTGTCCCCGCAAATACCCTCCCTCCCCTTTGCCCCCCCTGCACTCCTTCCCTCCCTTGAAAACATATTGAGCCCCTGTTTTGTTCCCTTTGGCAATACATATGTGGGTTGTTTCATGATTGCATTGGTTGGTTTGCTATTTTTATGTTTATTTACATGTATTTAATACTTATTGAAGTGTTGTGTTGTCCCCGCAAATACCCTCCCCTTTGCCCCCCTGGCACTCTTGCCCTCCCTCGAAAACATATCGAGCCCCTGATTTGTTTCCCCCCCTCACCCCAATGTGTTTTTATATTAGCGAATTGCTATGTTTGAAAATATGGAGTGAACATTGAAAATCCAAATTATGTTCAAGCGAGTCAAGCGACAATATTGTTCGTGCTTTTTTTTTAACATTGTGTACATAGAGAGGACACCTCGGCGTTCCCCTTT